AAAAATATATACCGATCGTTCATTCGAAGCAGCTATATACACAGGGCCATGAGCTGATGAGGAAGAAGTCTAAAAATAAATAAATAAAAATAAATACATTCATTTTCTAGTTCTATAAAAATATTCTAACAGAATCATAACGAAACGAAAATTTACCTCAAATCCGGAATCCACATGATAGTACAGGGGCAAAATCAGGGGATTTTCCATGAAAATTTGATCCACTTCATCTAATAACTATCAAAATAAAAGTGGATTCATTCAAAATAAAATAAGCTCAAATGGTAAAATACATTCAGAAAAAAAAAAAAAAAAAAAAAAAGTACACTACGAAAATACGTGTAAAAACTTACATCGTCATCAGAATCACGGAAAGGAACAATCAGTGATCCTTCAAATAAGCACCTGGCAATTAAAAAAAGTACAATAAATAACACATTAAAAAAATTAGTATTTAAAAATGGTAATCTTAAAAATAAGGTATAGCAACGAAATACGTACTTACATTGGTTGCAGAAAAAACTGCAGTTCGCTTGGCAGACATCGTGTAGAATAAAACAAAATGGCGCAAAAGAAAATCACAAAAAGGCAAGATAACGTTTCGCTCAGCAACAACCACAGTAGAAATGATTGCATTCGTCAACGCGAGCGAATATATAGGCGATGTATAAGAAACAAACACGCTGATTGGCTGAAATAAGATAGAAAATATTAGTGAGAGTCTGATTGGTTGTTAAGATTGTATACTTTCGCCACGGCGGATGTAGAAAGCGTGAAGCGGTTTCGACAGGCTGCAACGTGAAAGAGATGACGTTTGCCTGTTTCCCCCAGCCTCCTGACGTCATGGTTATTTTTCTACTCAACGCGATAATGTGACCTAGTTTGTAAGGTCTCGGTGGCATGGTGGTTTGGGAAATCGCCTTCCAAACTAAAGTTTGCGGGTTCGAATCCCGCTCGTGGAGCTATTTTTAAAATTCAATAAAATTTAATTAAAGGTAATAATTAAAATAATAACGTAGTAAATAATTAAAATACTTATTAAAAAGAGTAAATAATTAAAATTAATGACATACTAAATAGTTAAAATTAATTAATGTCAAATAATTAAAAATAATAAATTAAAAGTGATGTCATTCCAAACACGTAGTTCAAGATACTGTTGCCATAAAACCTAAAAATATATGTTCGTTGCCACAAAAAATAAAAACTTTGAGACATAAAATCGTTGCCACAGAATCAAAAACGAAACTTTGATGATGTCATTCCTTCCATCTACGTCATTTCCGGTTGTCATGTGATTCAAGATGGCGGCGACCACGCCCCTTTTCTGTGATGTCACTTCCGCCTACCGGTTACCTCCGGTTACTACTTTCCGGCATCAAACCGGTGCACACATCTACTGCAAACATGCTGATTAAAAAGTTTTAATTAAAAGAAAAACAATCTAATAATAAAATACAGATCAATGTTTCACATTCAGAATCCATTTCCCGTACCCATTTGAGACATATAAATTATTGAATTATATCAGACTTTTAGAGAGTCATAATATAAAACTATTAAAAGTGAGACTTGGCCGTTCAATAAATCTCACAAATACTTCGTTTCTGTCTCTAAACAAATGCATGGTATCCTCATTCATTGTTGTCGATCAGTATTAGCGTTTATCTCTGGTACCCTTTTAACAAAATCTGTGATAACTCCTTACTAGATTTTAAACAAACGTATGCAACTTATACAGGTTGGACTGTCAAATATATTGAAAAATTAGTTCTTCAGATTAAAAAAACAATTGAAATTCCTCTATGAAATATATGGACATGGAAAGAGGTTTCGATTCGATTTTCAAAATTATAATTACAGAGTGAGATTATAATCATTACGAAAAAAATTCGAACCGATTTGTTACTTACTAGGTTTTTCGTAGACTGTTAAGCTATATATAGTTTTAAGAAACCTAGGACTTTGTTATATTTTTAAATAAAATTACGCTGCCTTTCATAGGCACAGCGGTGGCTTTAAATTAAATTTTAGTTTTTTTATTCTCCGTTATTTGTTTTTGTTCTTTCAGGGTTTTTTTAGATTGTTATTCACCGCAAAAAATTAAAAACGTAATTCATAAGTTTGGTTTTGAAGATTTTAAAATCTTTCAAAAATGAATTGATTTATGCTTTCAAATGCTGAATTATGTTTAACTGAAGAGCACTTTTCGAACGTCCCACGGGAAGGTTTTGTCAGTTAAGCAGATGTGGGCAAATAGAAGCCAGCTTAAAGGGTTAGAAAATCCGTTTTATTCGAGATTTCCTTCCTGTACGAAACCGAAGATTTATATCGTATTCCCCATTAAGACGGACAGGGTCCATGCGCACAGTAGAAACGATGTGCAGTGTTTGCTGGAATATCTGGGAAATTTCAATTTTGTCATTGTCACATTAACTATATAATTCCCAACTTTAGTGAAACCACGGGCCGTCCGACAAGAAGTAAAATCGGTGATGAATGTCGTGTATTTAATAAAGAATGTACTAACAAATATTTCTTTGGCAATACAGGGAATAAATCAGTATGTTTACTGTGTCACGAAACGATAGCCGCATTAAGGAGTAAACTCTCAAACGGCAACACAAAATATTAAAAAATTTAAATTTTCACACACACACACCATAAGAAGAAGATCCGCACAGTTAATTTTTTGATTCGACATGGATCAAACTACCAGGATTCAACAATTTTAACACTGCTGCAAATAATTATAACACAATAACTACAGAGCGATATAAATGTGATTTCAAATAGTACTCAGAAAATATAGTTATGACATATTCAGCTTTCTTTCATACTCTAAAGCAAATACCCCCCAAAAAAAAAAAAATGAAACTGATAGAAGGCGTTTATCAGGCAGTGCAATTAAACCAGTATTGCATATTCATTGAACGTTTATCAATAAGTTAACTTTAATTTTTAGTACTCATTTGATTCTTTGCTTTCCTTTATGTATCTTATGCAGATATTAATTTAAATGGCGCAACATATATTAAACAAAGAACATATATAAAAACAAGAATCCTCCAACTGGCGGGGCCGTGTACTTATCCAAGATAATTTTAACGATGATTTTCAATATTAATGTTTACGTGCATCTTAAAATGTGGCCAAATGTTGAAGAATGCTTATTATAAGAGAAAGAATGAGGTATAAATCAGCAGCCTCGTTTTTGAATTGCAGCCTCGTTTTTGTTTTTGAAAACTTTTAGTGAATGTTAAGTGAATAGTACTTTAATTGCAATGCTGCTATCAAATCCAATACGTTTCTTACATAGACATTTATATTTTGCTTCTTTGCAGCCAAAGCGAAATATGCAAATATCCTGCATGCACATTGCTTTCCGTTCACAGTAGCGGAACGATTGCTGAGAACACGTTTGGGATAACACTTTCTTGCCATTATATGTACAGTCCCTTAAATATCCGATGAGAACATTTCTGGCAATGTAAACAAACCAGCAATTGAAGTCATTGATAAACTTGATTCGCTGCTTTTGGCTGTACAAATTATGTACGTCAAAAGTATCAAATGCCTTTTTGAGAGTTCTCAGGAACGTCCCTTTGCTAATATTTATAAATAGAAGTTCTATATTAAAAATATTTATAGATTTTAGAACTGAAATTTTCAATTTAGTCAACAACATTCTAAAATTTTGCAGGAATTATTGTAGCAAAAAGAAAAATTTATATTTGCTTGGTTTTATTAGATGTTAGCTATTTTTCATTTCCTATACATGTAAATACGCAGTTTCATTACAATGTAAATATATCAGTCAGTTTTTAATAAAAATTCATTCTTGAAACGTTTTTGTAGTGGATTTTTAAATTGCGACATATCGACACATTTTTGTTGTAGTATTAGAAGTGCCTGTTTAGAATACTCACGACTTGACGAATAAAAGAAATCAAGAAATTTTAAATGCAAATTATTACCGTGTTCAAGCTACTGACTTTAGTAAAAATGTCTACATCTTGGAACTTGACTTCTTCGATCTCTTCTTAGTTGCGCAGTCTTTCGATATATCTGCACGATTGTTCTAATTATGAGATTGTGAACGTTGGTGCAATGCTAAAAATTCAACCTTTATATCCTATATACGAAAGACAGACCAAAACTCTGACGGATAACTTCAATTACTGGTCATGATCATGAAATAATTATATCATCCTCATGTTATGATCATAATGCAACTCATGTTATGATTACCTATAAATTTACTTCCCCTACTGATTTTAAAATCTTTAAAATATTTTCTGTTGATCATATTTCTATCATGTATATAGGGAAGACAGTTGCTACAGCCTTGATTTCCTGCTCGAATTCTGAAGAAAGCTAGTTAAGTGTACAGTCTCTTTGCATCATGGAGGCATTAGAATGTCTATGCTTTTAATTGGTTTTGTTTAGTTGATTATGGCAAAATACACTAGGTCTATCTCAATAAGTGAAAGTATGCATTCGCGGAGAATTTTCTAAATCAAGCTGACTAGTATATACTTTGCACATGAGGGAAACCCTCACCAGTGGCTGAGCGGTAAAGGCGCTGAACACTGGTAGTTCGGTCCGAGGTTCGAATCCTGCGAACGGGCTGGCTGCATGGGCTTTTTCGTAGTTTTTTCCTCATGTGTACCGTGTATATGAGCCAGTTTCCCTTAGAAAGTCCTCCACGAAAGCATCCCTCCCTTTAGACAGATATCCCTCGTGTGCTTTGCCATAACTGAATAATCCAATCCAATCCACATGAGGGAAACCTAGGAAACGCCATGCAACCAGCCCTTTCGTCTGGAACTAACCCAGGTCGGAACTGTTAGTTTTCAGTGATTTTATCGCTCGACCACTCGTAGGGGCTGAATTCCATCGAACCAAAAGTCTTCGAAAGAAGATCCAATGTCCTATCATCGGACACAGGCTAAGAGTTTAAATGCGTCCTCTGAAATATTCTTCAGCAAAAAGAGAGCCGAATTTTCCCTTTATCGTGAATGAAATTCTCCCATTAGACTAATAGAAAAGACTGCAATTTTATCGAACAACGTTAAAAATTCTCTTAATGTTTTCGTATTTCTCAGATTTAAGAGAATCCCTGAGATTTCGCGAATGTAATTTCCTTTCGCGGTTACCAAACACATTCACAAATTTCTGATATATGATATTTATTTTCCATCTTATATGCTGAGTCATACACTATCTTTAAGTACATTTAAAACTTTATTAATTAAATTTACTCAAATAACATATTTCAAGGTGTATCTACTCTAGAGTCTGAACATTAAGTCTGAGCAACATTTACCCTGGTTTTGTATCACAGAACTTACGCTCAATTGTTAAATGAACTCCAGAAAATTAT